GAGATCTTGGCCACTCTGATGTACATTTTCCCAGTTAAGAAGCACTGAATTCTCCAAAATCTCACCTGTCTCCATTTCCATGACAGTCCAGATGTTAAGTGACACACCCAGGACCACCTATCAGCTCTGGGACCAGAACTGGACCCTACTTCCAGTGCTCTTTCTATCTCGAACCATCTTTAATAAGTTAAGGTCAGAACAGACATTTCTTCTAGAGCAGGGATTTTATTTTTACAAATTAACATGAACTGCATGTTTGTTATCAATTACCAGGTACACATTATCTAGAATTGTAATTGGTGAACCAGTGCTTCAGTTCTAAGGAAAAAATGTAAAGGCCTTTGCAACACAGCTATTTGTCTGAAAGGCTGTGTGCTTTGCTAATGCTAACAATGATTGATAATGGGGATAAGGATATAAGAGACACAGCTTCTGGAGGAAGCCCTTACTTGAGATAAAAGCGTGATGTGGTCAAAATTAGTAAGTTTTAAATCAATACATTTAACTATTTGTTACGATTTTTGTTAAGTAAATCCCTATGGGGAAAAAAATTACTATTCTATGTCTGAAATTTTCTGCACAAACTCCTTTTTCCATTGAAATAACATTCCAATACAGTATTTTTTTTTTTATGTAAGGCTTCTTAAAATGTGCTACTGTGTTTCAGTCAGACTGTAGCGCGCATGCACACACACACACACACACACACACCAAAAAAGGCTTCCCATAGGCAACTCCCTAGAGATCCCTGTTCACTATTTGGCAAGGATCTAGTTCAGCCTTGTTTCTGCCCTCCTCACCCCAATTTTCTACTCCCTTCCCCTTGTCAACCACCCTACTCCCACTCCCCCACCCACCTAACCACTCCCAAACCCAATACAAATATCCTCATTCTCTAGGCTCTAAGCCTTAGTATTGCAACTGACCCAATCCTAACCTGAATCAAATCAGCCTTTCAGAATATAGCAAGCCGAAGACTGTTATGCAGATCTAACTTGTGGTTAGTCCCCAAATAGAAAAAGGCAAAGAAAACTCTACCCACCCCCCAACTCTTGGTACCAAACTCCCCAGCACAAAATTCCTAGTTCTCTTATGAGTGTACTAAAACTTCACATTTTGCCTCAGGCTTCAATACTACTGTAACAGTGATATCCAACTACGACTCATTTTCCTATCCTTTACCATCGCTCAATTAAAGAATCTTCCAAAGTTAAGACTATCTCCAGTTTCACCAAGTCAAAGACTCTGAGTCACCTAGATCATTGTTTATATCTCAATTCAGTAAACTTAAGCCTTAATTCAACAAAGTATCTCCTAAACATCTACCATGGGGAAGGCATAATCCATGAATTCCCTCAACAAATATTAGTTATGTAACTCCACTGGGCTAAACTACTCTACCTCTGCTGAGGACAACAGTGAATGGGACAAAGTAGCAATCCTCATGGAACGCATATTCTAAGGAGGAAATAGATGTTAATAAGTAAAATAAATATAAAGAAAAGTAAAGCAGAGATAGAGTATTCTAAATAAGGGAATCAAGGAAGGTCTCTGAGTAACTAAGATATAAGCAAAGACCAGAAATGAAGTGAAGAAAAAGCTGTGTTAAGGTAAGGCTGAGAGTAATCAAGATGTATAAAAATGCCCCAAGCCTAGACAGCTTGAAGTTACGACCGAAAAAAAAAGGGGGGGTCAATATTAGAACTATAAAGGAAGCAAAAGAGAGAGTAATATGGTGGGTTAGAAAAGGGGTAGCCGTGGTTAAGGAACCACCATGGACAGGTGTATCTTGGAGATATCTGGTTTGGTTCCAGACCATTGCAATAAAGTCAGCACAGCAATAAAGCAAGTCAAACTCTTTTTGACAATGGAGGGTTTTGCCTTCAATTTGTAAAGAACACATCTGTAAAGAGCAATAAAGCAAAGTAGAAAAGGAAAAAAAATTGAAGAACAATAACAAAAAAGGCGAAGTGCAATAAAGTGAGGTATGCCTACATTAGGAAAGGAAAAGTCACTTGAGGTGCTACAAGGTATACAGAACTTCACCTGAGTGAAACCATACTACAAAAAAGATAAGGCAAATGTTCAAGTGATTGTCACACAAAAACTGTTATATTTCTGGTTAGAAATGTAACACATACAAGATATAATGTGGATCACTGAAGGGTGAAAATCACAGTGAGGTCAACAAGCAAAGACTTCAGAGATGGGAGCATATACAGCTTGCTCAGCAAACAGCTAGGCATCCAATATGGCTGACGTGTCTGGTACACATCACAGATTGCCAGCTGCTGCTGCAAGTTTACAGGAGAAAACCACAATACACCTAATTCTGCAGGCAATACACAGCAATGGCTGTGTATTCTCCAAGAACCTAGTGAGGACGTCAGCAGCATAAAAAAGATCCAATCAGAAACAAAGGATACGCTAATTGAAATGAAGAACAATTTACAGGGAAACAACAGTAGAGTGCATGAAGCCAAGAATCAAATCAATGACGTGGACATAGGGTAGAAAAAACAACCAATCAGAACAAGAAAAAAAATCCAAAAAAATGAGGCTAGTTTAAGCAGCCTCTGAGAAAACTTCAAGAGATCCAATATTCGCATCACAGTAGGGTGCCAGAAGGAGAACAGAAAGAGCAAGAAATCAGAAATCTATTTGAAATAACAGTGCAAGAAAACTTCCCTAATTTGCTGAAGGAAAGACATGCAAGTTGAGAAAGCAGGGCCCCAAACAAGAGGGGTGCAAACAGACCCAGTCCAAGACATAATCACAATTAAAATACCACAGGTTAAAGATAAAGAGAGAACCTTAAAAGCAGCAAGAGAAAAGAAGTCAGTTACCTACAGGGGAGTTCCATAAGAAGCAGATTTCTCAAAAGAAAGTTTGCAGGCTAGAAGGGAGTGGCAAGACATATTCAAAGTCGTGTAAAGCAGGGACCTACAGCCAAAGACACTGTACCCGGCAAAGATATCATTTAGAATTGAAGGGCAGCCCTGGCTGGTGTGACTCAGTGGACTGAGTGCCACCCTGCAAAGTCAACAGTTCGATTCCCAGTCAGGGCACATGCCTGGGTTATGGGCCAGGTCCCACAATGGAGGCCAGCAAGAGGCAACCAATCAGTGTTTTTCTCACACATCAGTGTTTCTTTCCCTCTCTTTCTTCCTCCCTTCCCTTCTCTCTCAAAATAAATAAAAATTTTTTTTAAAAAAGAGAGAACTGAAGGGCATATAAAGAAGTTCCCAGATAAGAAAAAACTAAAGAAATTCATCATCAAATCATTATTATATAAAATGTTAAAGGGACTTATTTGAGAAAAAGATCAGGCCTGGCTGGTGTAAGTCAGTAGACTGAGTGTCAGCCTGCAAACCAAAAAGTCACCAGTTCAATTCCCGGTCAGGGCACATGCCTGGGTTGCCCGCTGGGCCCCCAGTTGGCAGTGTGCAAGAGGCAACCAATCAATATATCTCTTGCACGTCAATGTTTCTCTCCCTCTCTTTCCCCCTTCCCTCTCCTCTATCTAAAAAAAAAAATAAAAATCTAAGAAAAAGATTTAAAAAAAGAGCAATACTATGAACAATCAAATGGCAATAAATACATGTCTAGCAACATTGAATCTAAAAAACTAAACAAACAATAACAGACACATAATCACGGATATGGAGAGCATTTAAGGGAGTAGGGGTGCTAGGTGGAGCAAGACAAAGGGTGAATGAAAACTGAGACAACCGTACCAGCATAACCAATAAAAATGTTTTAAAATACCATGTCTGACATCACAGAGATCCATGAAAAAATAAATAAATGTTATCATGAGCATAGTTCTACCAGAAAAAATCAATTTGAAGACTTCTCTACAAATAAAGTTAGTTTATGGTGGTGTTTTTTTTTTAAATCCTCACCCAAGGACATGTTTTTCATTGCTTCTACAGAAGCAACATCTATTGGTTGCCTCCAGCACACACCCACATGGGAGACAGAACCTGCAACCTTTTAGTTACAGGACGACACTCCAACTGAGCCCCACAAGCCAGGGCAGTTTACGGTGTTTAAAAGACATGATTTCAAAGTGGGATCTGCATGTCCCAGGTTTCTGATTCCTCACTATTTATTCTATACGCTCCTATGAGGTTTCTTATCTTTTACTTGTATACCCAGAGGCCACAGCAATTAGAAAAAGAACCAACTAGCAAGTTTTACCCTGCCCTTACACTACCTGACATTTTATATGTGTTTATTGCCTGCCCTCCTCATTAAACTATGACACTCAGGAGAGCAGTGCCTGTATATTTTTACAAATGAATCTACCCCCAGTATCTGCATCAGTGCCTAACCCATAGCAGGCACTTAATGAGTATACACACACATGTACATGAAAAACAACTATATTCTTCCCACAGATTCAAGCAACCACAATATACCCTGCTTGAATGTCACACATTTTACAGAACAAGTTTTAATTTTGACAGTGTCTCCTTCCCCTGAACCATGAAAAACACAACTACCTTTGGAAAGGTTGGAAGAGGCTCAGTGACTAGGTCCGAACTTGTAGAAACCATGTAAAGATACACCAGTCACTTCCACACACGAGAAACACAAATAGATGGATGCTCACCCCTCAATAAAGGCATATCCTCAGTACAAAACATGCCAAAAAGGGATGCCACAAGACTGCGACACAGAATGAAAAGTACCGCAGACACAAAAAACATTACAAAGGTGTGGCGATACAATACCTTAAAAACAAGAATCAGTTTGTGACCCTGATGTAATAAGGATTCCAGGGACCACTGACAATCTCCACTTACAAAGCAAAGCATGGAACAGACCCAAAGTATCAAATGCCCTGTAACAAAGAGAAACTGACATGGTAAGTCCTGAGCTGTTCTCCCAGCTGTCCCTTCCACATCAGTACCACGGTGCAGTCAGGCATTTCTTTCACTGAACCAGACTTTCATTACCCACATTGTCCACCATTTGTCACTAAAGCAGCTTACCTCCTGCCCTGTAGCTGCTTCCATATCAAGAAACAGATCAAGAAGAGATCGGACAAGACGAGCTGCTTTAGCCTTGCTGATGGAATTCAAGAAGGGTCGCACATACTTCAGGAGTCCTCCAAGCTCTGCATGAAGGCAATTCAGAAAGGAAAAAAGTAAACATTGATAATTAGGAACAAAATACTCATTTAAAAAATAACTCAAGATTATAAACTCAGTACCTATGTCACTGCAATCAGTCTAAATGAAACTTAGGAATTTAAAGCATTCTTGCAGGTAAGAGGAGCAAAAATAAACCAACATATTCCAAATCTGTACTATTCTATTCCCCACTCAAGCCTGGATTACTATGAGGGCCCTGGGAAAAGCCCAGTCTCTCTGTCTCATTTATCCATCTCAATGAAAGATAAACAACAAAGTACTCACATTCCCAAAGACAAGTTTTCTAGAACATAAAACATGCTGTGCCTCTGCCACCTTGGACAAAATCACTACCTTACAACCAACAAATTGGATCAGGCTATAGAAGTTATTTGTTTTTAATTTTTTTAAATTATTAGCATGAATTTTATTTTTTATCTTTATATTATGGCTTTAAGTGCAAATATAACTCATATGCACAATCACAAAAATCATACAACTTATATTATGTGACACAGATGTATTTTGTTCTTACCAGAACAGTGAAAATGCTGTACAAATTTCAACTATTTTATTTTTTAATTTTATTTTTAGAGAAAGGGGAAGAGAAGGAGAAAGAGTGGGAGAGAAACATCGACATGTGGTTGCCTCTCATATGTCCCCTACTGGGGACCTTGCCTGCAACCCAGGCATGTGCCCTGACTGGGAATTGAACCCGCGACACTTGGCTTCACAGGCCCATCCATGTTCAATCCACTGAGGTACACCAGCCAGGGCTATGTTTTTAACTTTTAAATAGACCTTAGCAGTTCTCCCTGAACAAAGTACTCCCCAGTTTAGCCTTTTAGCAGTATCAGTTCCTAGCTACTATTTTGAATAAACTTCTCACACGTAAGTTAGGGTGTTTTTTCCCTTTTAAAATTCCTCATTAATCTTCAAAGCCTAAGTCTTAAACTATAATCAGAAAAGGTGTCCAGCCCTGGCTATTTGGCTCAGAGGATTAAACACCAGCCTGAGAACCAAAGAGTCACCAGTTCAATTCCCAGTCAGGGCACATGTCTGTGTTGCAAGCCAGGTCCCCGGTTGGGGGCACATTCGAGGCAACTGATCGATGTATCTCTCACACACAGATGTTTCTCTCTCTTTATTCTTTCCTTCTCCTTTCTCTAAAAATAAAATCTTTAAAAAAGAAAAATAAAAAAAGGTGTCCAGGTCCTGGCCAGGTAGCTCAGTTGGTTGAAGCATCATCCAGATACACCAAGGTTGCAGGTTCAATTCCTGGTCAGGATACATACAAGCATCAACCAATGAATGCATAAATAAGCGAAACAAATCGATGTTTCTCTTTCTCTCTAATTAATACATTTAAAAATTTTTAGAAAGGTGTCCACCATAAAGGTTGTTCCCCGATGTGTAAGAAAAGAGAGTGTTTCTAAGAGTAATTCTAAGAAAACATCTTTAGAAATAAGTTTCTAAAAATAAGAGAATGCTTCAATTAACAAATAAGGAAGTACTTCTGGAATGTAGGTTAAAATTACTTTAGTGCCACTGCCTCTTTAATATTCTCCAAGTGTAAACTCACCCTCCTGAGAACTCTAATTCAGGGCAAGCAAACCTCACCCTCCTGAGGATGCTAATTCAGGGTCCTGAAATCTTCGTCTGCCTGAAAAGTCATAGGATGCATTGGACCAGTCAGGTACAAAAGGAACTTGATACAGAAAGAGAAGTTCATCTTTCTCTTCACTCCCCACTACTGACCTTTGATTCCCATCAAGATTCTTTTCTGCACTCACACTCCTGCTCTCAAGCCTCACTCATGCCACTCCCACCTGGAATTTCTTCCCTTCTCCTTGACCTAGGATTCTGAAATACCTTTTAGATCCAGCTAAAGTCCTTTTAAGTCTTCCATGCCAACTCCAGGCCATTCTGATTTCTTCCCCTCAAATTTGTTTTACACTAATGCAAATTTCAATGATATAAACCTAGCTTTTTAAAAGTAGTCTAGTGCAATGCCCCTTCTCCCACAGCATTACCTACTGCGCTTGAACAATTCTGAACAATCTCTAGTATCAAAAATGTTCAGAAAGCAGGCTATTCCAATGCTAATCAAACTAAATTCTTTTTTGAAACATGAGTTACATCCTCTTTCCACAAGGTTATAAATTTGAAGATAACTATCATTTATATCCCCCTAACTTTCCCTTCCTCCAAGCTAAACATCCTTAGCTATTTCAACTATTTCTCCCATGTACTGGTTTCCAGATTCCTTATCACCTTAGGTGCCCTCCTCCGAATAAACTCTTGTGTACAGAAGTACCACATGTGGTACCCAGAACTGAAAACGGTGCTCCAGGTCGGGTGTGACCAGTACAGTCACTGCTTTATTCTTTTAATCTCATCACCACATGTAACACAAAACAGCATGTTTTGTTCTTTCTAACAGTGCTCTGTTCAGAATGATTCCATGAAGGGTTGTTTTTTTTTTTTTAGACAGGTAATTCCCCATTTCTCTGTTTTGATAAGCATTTTAGGTATATAAATTATATTTACCACACCGAATTTAATCTTGCCAGATGTGGCAATAACTCTGAATCATAAATCTTTCTTATACTGAGTCATCCATAAAAATAAGCACACCTTCTGAAATCGTTTTAGCCATAATGCTGAATACTGACCAGTAAAAAACAAGGACAGATCCCTATGACATGTTGCTAGAGACTTTCCTTCAGGTTGACAAATCATCCATTTGTCATCATAAATGCATAACCTGTATCTGTCATTAATATTATAGCCAATGTTCAAATAACCTGCTTATATCAGATATGTAGTCTTAGTCATTCCCCTGACCTAGGAGTCGACCAACTTTTTCTCTGAAGGGCCAGAGTGTAAATATTTTCAGTTTTGGTTATAAGGTCACAGTAGCAAGTACTCAACTCAGCCACTGCAGTGCAAAGCAGTCAGAGACAATATGTAAATAAGTGGGTGTGACTATGTTCAACAAAACTGTATTTACAGAAACAGCTGTCTAGCCACTGTCTATGGAGCCCTGCATATCTACTAGTCTGATAAGGCTAATCGAAGAGAACTAAGGTTGAATTTGGAGGCACCTTTTCTTAGGAAGTCCACTGTTCTAAGTTATTAAAACCTACTTATTAAATAATCTGTCCCAGAACTTTACTGATGATTACCAGGTTAGTGTCTAGAATTATTTTTACTACCTTTTTGAAGGTGGAATAATGTTCACCCTTACTGTTCTCTTATCTCTCTCCATCCTCCCTGGTTTTTCTCAGAACAATAAGAGTGGCTCTATAAATATATCTGCTAGAACTATTCTTTTGATATTAAAAGACAGAAAATGTCAGAGCCTAGAGACTTGAACTTATTTTAAAGAGATTATCTGCTCTCACTTCTCTCACCTACCTTGGCTTTAATTCTTTCTGATGTTATTTCTATCTTTTTCTTTTTGAAAATCATTTTCCTTCCTGGACAAGGCAGAAGCAAAACATGAGCTAAACAGCCTGCCTTCTCTCTAGCACCTGCTACCATGGCAGTATTTTCTCCAAGCACTGAGTGTGTTATTCTTCTCACTCTAACAGAGAAATAAATGACCTCTTAGTTGCCAAAAGATTCAGTTCATTTTTTATTTTCACTTACTGCTGTTTCTTATTCATTCTTGGTTATATTTCATTTCTTTTCATTTTCACATATACTGAATATTTTTTAATTCCCATAGAATATATTAATTCCTTCCTACTAGCCTGAAGATTATTTGCAATTACATAACAAAAACTTCCCTTCTAGAATATGACAGAACCCTGGCCAGTGCAGCTCAGTGGATTGAGCACTGGCCTGCAAACCAAAGGGTCACCAGTTTGATTCCCAGTCAGGGCACATGCCTTGGGTTGCAGTCCAGGTCCCCAACAAGTGGTGCATGAGAGGCAACCGCACACTGATGTTTTTCTCCCTCACTTTCTTCCTCCCTTCCCCTCTCTAAAATAAATATACAAAACCTTTAAAAATAAATTAAAAAATAAAATATTTTTTAAAAAACCTCACAGAATTTAACATAATCATTTTAAGAGTCTCAGGCTATGAAATCTGCAGAGCCTAAACCTAGGTGTGATGTCTAATGATACATTATGCACTAGACATTGTCTTAGTCACTAAGTCCCAAAAGACTGCTCAGTCAGGGACCTTATCTTAAACTTCTTGAGTAGAGTACTTAGCACAGTGTTAGTCATATATTAAGTGCATAAAAACTGAAGATTAACAGAACAGACATATTTTCTGTTGTCAGAAATCCCCAAAGAAAACAACACAAACCTATCACTTATTAATAGGTGAACAAGATAAATGAACGTAAATAAGCCCCAGAACTTCCGTAGGGTTTCTAATGTATATACCTATATTCATTAAACCGTTTGTTGGAAAACAAGTTTTTAAAAGTTCATGATTCTCCTATTGAATTTCATTAGGTTTAGCAATACACTTCTAAACTTCTCAGGTGTGAATCACAAGGAAGGGAGAGCAAGGAATATGGAGAGTACAGCATAAAAAAAGAATTTTAAGCAAAACAGTAACATTTTTGGTACATTTTCTGAAGCACTGACTATACACTACATGCTGTTTCTGATTATCCATGCTACTGAAGGAAAAAAGAATTTGGATGTTTCAACAACAGAAAAATCTTAAATCACTTTATCTGGCCCTCTAATTCTTTCAAGAAAATTATTGTGTTTTGTATGGACTAATTATCAAAACTGTTTTCTAACTCGCAAGCTCCCATTCACTGAAAGGCAAAAAGAACCTGTAACTATGTTAAATAGGAGGGAAATCAGCCTGAAATAAAAAAATTTTAAAAACCACCACCCACCATTGATAATGTGTAAATGGTAACTATGGAAAGCAATAACCACTCATTATACCATGAGGCCACAAGCTCTGAGGCAGGACTCCATGGGTTCAAAACCTGGCTCTCTCATGTACTAGCCGATAGACCTTAAGCAAGACAGTAAACTGTTCTGTGCTTAGTTTCCTCAGGTGTAAATACACAATAGCACCTACCTTATCAAGTTGTTTCAAGGACTCATAAGCTGAACCATGTTTATGCTTAAAACAATAACTAGTTCATAGTACCCACTCAAAAACTATTTTTCTTATTATATTTTTAAAATTTAATAGAAAATCAGTTTTAAAATCAGTTTTCTATTAACTTAGCTTAATAGTTAATAAGTTAGCCAAATTAATTGGAAAAGATCTTAGTTGTTAAGTTCAAGAACTTTTGCTAACTTACACCTATCATTCTCTTGGATAACAACATAATTTGGGGGAAAGTTATTCATGAGGTCACTTACTACAGCTTAATCCAGTCTAATCAGATAAATCCTAAATTCACTTTAAAGTTGAAAAAAACATCCAGTTTTAAGTTTAAGCAGGCATCTCTCTAAATACTACCACCCACTTTACTGGTCAAAGGCCCTTCCTGGTCAACAAGACTCTCTCATTCGAAGGACACACCCATCATCATCTGGAGCTAGAAAGTCCATTACAAATAGAACGTTTGGGCAATGACATGCAAAGCCCTGGGTACCAATGCAAAAATCTTGGGAAGGCTCTTCCCATTTAATGTCTGACTCATCCTGTGTCAGGAAAAAAAGACGGCAAGTCACTTACTTGGATGCAAAGTCCCTAGTCATTTTCACATCGGGAGCCTAAAGTCACAACCCATCTTAAATAGATCAGAGCTGTTCAGTGAAATCACTAAACACTGCTGCTGCCCCTACAGAAAGGGAATACAGTAAAAATTCAAACCAGAAAGAAATCACAGATCATTATATCTAAGAAGAATAGGATTTTCCCACAGCTTCAGAACAAAACTCTTTCATGAAAGAACTGAGTTTGAAGAAGCTTAAAAAAAGAAGTTCAACAAGTTGGCAATAAAATGAAACTGTGTGAATACATTCCTGTGATCCTCAGCTCCAACAAAACACCGAAACTTCGCCCAGCATTTCAGGTAAAAGAGAAAGCAATCCATTTGTAGCATTTACCTGCAGCTTGTCCAGTCTTCGCCAGGAGAGACCCCAGTTCCAGGATGCTCTGCTCTTTGACCTGCACTGCCTCCTCATCATTCTCCTGAATGTCACGTTTCACTAGGAAAAGAAAATCAAACCCTCTTAAAATTCTGGCAAAAAAACATAAAGACTTAAGAAAATTTCACCCGCACAAAACCAATTCATCTCTTCGCTTTTAAATGTGCCTTTTCATTCTATCAATTAGAATTTCCCTTACCCACATAACACTGAGGTTTCTGTTACAGTCATTTGGTTAAAACAAAATTCAAACAAGTTCATACTCGTGGTGGAAGTCCCAGGCTAGGCATTGTTATGTGGAAATATTAAACATACCAGTGTATTTAACCTGCCACAAATTAAACTCAAATGACCAAGATACTAATGACTATAAAATAAAAAGTCTTTCAATAAACCTTAGGCCTGTGGAAAGCCTCAGCTGATGGGTGTACTAGGGATAAGCAAAATACATAGCATTCAGGAAAAACAACCCTATCAAAGCCCCAGTGTGATCCTTAGAAGGGATGGCTGCTTTACAATGGATTCGTGACCTGTTAAAATAACTTAGTGCTGTCTATTCCACTCTCAACTGTTAATAACCATTCTATATCAGGGACACTGAACACCCTCTCCAAATCTGTAGTGGTAATTTTAGTGATCATCACTAGTTATCACTTCTCTTACAAAGCATCATGACTTGACAAAAACCAAGACTCTGATACTCCATAATGGAATCTGGAAAAAGTAGGGCTGTCAACCTCATGACTCAAGTTTACTCTAATAGAGACCCTTACAGGGAACTCTCTCCTAGGACAGTGGGCAAGCAAGAAATACTCTATAACATTTACCATGATTCCTACTTCACAAAAGACAAAAATTCTAGGCACGAAAAAAAAATAAAATCTATGCTTCTCAAGTAGTTCTGAATGTCAGTATGTATTCACAATGGTTCTGTAATTGAAACTGACAAGTCAAGATCATAACTTCAACCTGTAACACCCTATATTTACCAACATCATCCATTAAGAGATGATCTGAACTCCCACCTCCTCGCTTCATCCAGTACACCCAAAGATAGACATCAAGATCTTGTCGCCCTTCCTTCATGAAAGTCAGGAGCACCAAATTTCAGAGTAAGTCAACACAAAGCCAACATCCTGGAGGTCCCAACACACGTGCGTTCTCATACTACTTGTTGATCCAAATCAAATCCTCTCAAGCTACGCTAAGATCACATTACTCCAGGTGCAGTAAAGAGCTAGCTCATGCCCCAACTGAACCCTCTTATGCTGGACATTAAAAGCTTTCTGTCATCAGAAATTTATTTCTATTCACACCTGAATCCAAGTAGAAATCTGTCGGATGAGAGTGGCTGGGGCTCCCACTTCACCTCTCCTGTTGGGCGCAAAGTGTAAGACAACTGCACCAGTTTTAAGGAATTTTTCTTAATTTGTCCCAGCTATGTGCAGCCGGCCGGTTCCAAAGAGTTCCATGGCTAAACTCCGCGGCTGACAACTAACTCCTGAACTGACTTTCAACCTTTACAGGGGAGGCCAGGACGATTAGTCACCTCCTCTAGCCCGGCGGTCTCACCCCGACGTCTTGCTCTTACACTCAATCTACACGGGGCAAAGGAACGTCTAGGCCACCTCCTCAAGCCAAATGCCAACCTGAAGTGTATGTCTCCTCGGCGTGTCCCACATTCAGAAAGAGCCCCCCCTCTTTTGTGCCGCCTTCCGCTGTGGGTCTGGGGAGAATTGGCAGCTCCCAGTCCCGTGGAAGGAAACTCCAGGAAAAAAACGAGCGCGAGCGCTCTCACCCGGAGCTGGCTGTGCTGATAACAACGGCGGGAAATGCCTGTCCTGAGCGGGTTTCGCCCAGACCCTTTAACTCGAGTTCGCAACAAGCACACCGGCCGGCACTACTCCGCTCACGCGGGCCAGAGTGGGAGACAAGGCTAGGGAGTGGTGTGGGGGCCCCGGCTCGGCCCGCTCTCCCACCCCACGCTGAGCCCACCGTGAGTCAGCAGCCAGCAAGTGGACACCGGGGTTGCCTCGGGGCTGCCCGCCGGGGTGGGACCCAGGGGGCTTCATGGAGGTCCGAGCGGCCTGTGCCCCCGGCCCGGCCCCCCTCACACACACAGTGAGTCAGCAGCAGCAGAGCCGGCTAGTCCGGCCCCGCTCCGCCGCCGCCGACCGACACAGGCCGAGCTGAGCCAGCAGGGTCGCGGAGGTGACGCAGCTACCTTTACCTATGGAGTGGAGGATGTCGATAGAGGCCTCCCGGTCAGTGCTGAGTAGAGACTGGGCTCTCTGAAACTCCACCACCGCCGCAGCCGCCATCTTACCGCTCTCACACCGTCCCCGGCCGCGGCCGCCGACGCCGGAAACACACTCCCGGAAGGCCCACCCTTGGTTGTCCCTCCCCCCCATAGTTTCCCCTCCTCCGCTCCCAGAGCATCACGGGAGTTGTAGTCTCTCAGCCTGTCGAGAGAGGTGAAGGGTTAGGATGAGAGTTGGGGATCCTCTTCGGTGGGCGGTAAACTGCCCAACACAATCCTAGCCGCCTGCCCGCGAGTAAAAGAGAAAGTGCCTAATAATAGGAACATAAGGATAATCCCCAGCCACCCCAAAAAAGGTCTCAACCCTGACTCCTCTCGATTGCACTTGACAAGAGCACCGGACTAAGCTTTCATTGAAAGCCATTTTGCTTTCTTTGTAGCTTCTACATTTAAATTTTTTAATGGATTTCTAGAGAAAAAGAGGAAGGGAGGGAGAGAAGCATCGATTTGGTTCCGTATGTGTGCATGCATTGGCTGATGCTTGTATGTGCCCTGACCTGTGGTGGAACCGCAACCCTGGCGTTTGGAAGACGCTCTAACCAACGGAGCTTACCCCGCCAGTGCCACAGCTTCTACGTTTAATCATTCCTTCAGGGCAATAAGCAATCTTATAAAGTGCTTGCATGTGGTTCGCGAAGAGTAGCGCCGTTCAAATGCGTTGAAGAGTCTAACAGTACTTCTGGGAGATACTTACACACTTTGCAGGCTAGAATCCTGCAGAATGCTGGCCAGTCTGCGATTAAACCCCCCCAGTGCTGGGGGAAGATGACGTTAGAAAGTGAATTATCATCAGTCCCCCATGCACTCAATAAATCCCACTAGGGGGTCACACAGAAGCCTAACAGCTACCCAAACCCCTCAGCTCAAAAAGGGAAAAACAGATTTTTCTTTCCGGTATCTTCAATTTTCTTCAACTAAAATCATAGCTAATCTGCAAGGTTTGACATCCTTTGTGACCACTGAGGGTTGAACTAAAAGAAAGTACTTAGCATGTACAGAGGCAGTTCAGTGTGGGAGAGATCTTACTCCAGGTGAAGGCAATCCAAAAATGGAATATGCTGTAAATATACTGTATTGTAAAGGGAACAGTATATTTCAAAAAGAACCAACATTGTGCTCTTCTATATCTAAGTTAAGCAACTTATAGCCCTGGCTGGTGTAGCTCAGTGGATTGAGCGCAGGCCTAAGAACCAGACAATTGATTCCCAGTCAGAGCACATGCCTGGGTTGCAGGCCAGTTCCCAGCGAGGGATGCATGAGAGGCAACCACACATTGATATTTCTCTCCCTCTCTCCTTCCCTTCCCCTCTAAAGGTAAATAAATAAAATCTTTAAAAAAAGAAAGTAATTTATAAATCTATCTCCTTTTAGCTTCCCAACAATGTTCCTGGATGCGTTCAAATAGAAACTGGATAACATCAAGTAGTTGTAAACAGGATTCATGACAGTGATGAGGAATTGGATGAAATGGCTTCTGAACTTCTCCTAACTCTGAGATTGTATGAATCTCAGTGTAAAACTGAGTCTTGCCCTGCTTAAAAAAAAAAAAAGAGTGGCTCAATGATTTGAGTGCAGGCCTGAGAACCAAAGGACTGCCAGTTCAATTCCCAGTCAGAGCACATGCCTGGGTTGCAGGCCAGATTCCCCGGTAGGGGATGCATGAGAGGTAACCACAGACTGATGTTTCTCTTCCTCTCTTTCTCCCTTCCTTCCCCTCTGTCTAAAAAGAAATAAATAAAATCTTTCTTTAAAAAAAGAAGCATTCCTTTCTCAAGTTGGTGTGCAGTTAATAATGTACCAGACTGTTAATAGGCAATGAAATTCCAAAGCTGAGAACAAGTGATAACTATCTCCACCTTCTAAAGAAGACCTACCAGTTGCATCCCCAAAGAACTTGCTAAAGAGTGACTAGGCCAGTTCTGTAACATTCATCCACTTGCAGCCTCCATCAGGGAGACATAAAAATGCAAAAGGAATTCAGTATAAGAAATCACAGGAGAGGACAGAATATTCACCTCCCTACAAAGAAGTAATACTACAGAAATACTACAGATCTTCCTCTCAACCTGGTGAGTCTTGCTGAACTTGTAAGCCCATCTCTGTGCAACCACCATGAGGAGAGTTTTGAGGTGAACCAGACATGTCTCTCCAGGAGTCTGCACATTTATGAAGATGGTTACCCACTTCTAGCCTGCAGGATTCTGAATTAGAGAAGCTAGTGGATACACCCCACAACAGGACAAAGAGAAAGGGGATCAAAGGGACAGCCTCCACTACCTGTGTTTGGCAGGGGCCATGTGGATGGTGCAAAGGTAGATTATCCCGAATTGTTTTGAAAGGACTTACCCAATAGGATCACCTGCCAGTAATAAGAAGCTGGAAGGATGGACTTCTGGAGGCAGTCACCGAAAGCAGGGGGCAGCAGGGTCTTGAGGTCAACTGGTGGAACTTCCCAAAAATCCATACATGCTCCCAACACAAGAAAATCAGCACCTGGGTCCCTGCCTCTGGTGGCAGTGGGCATGTAAAAGACTTTTAACTCTTTTCTTATGATCCCTCCTACTTCTCTGCCCTCCCCCAACTCACCCTATGCTGGAAGAGACCCAAACAAAGCAAAGTGAGAGAGGGAGGAGAAAGAAGAGGGAAAGAATAGGCAAAATTTTCAATGGCCTGAGAGTTAGAAAGGGGTGAGGTTTTAAATCAAATATAAAATAGAAGCTTTAATTTAGGCTACACTGGACTTTTTCCTTAATATTTTTTACTTTTTGAAAGCAGTTTTAGGTTCACAGCAAAACTGAGCAGAAAGTTAAGATAGACTGGATGTTTAATCACTACAGATGCCCTACAAGTTAGGGAATTTGCCTGAGATCATCCAGGGAAAGGGAAAGGGGATTCCCACAGAGAATGAATGAAGTTTGTATCCACATGAAGTCCTTCGACATACCTACTACAGTGCCCTCACTTGTTCGGTTTCCTAGATTCCTGGTTCCTCTATTTTCTTCACACTCTGTCAATACAGCAAATTATTACCTCTAGTTATTCTGAAAACGTTCCTGTTACTAGTTTCTCGTTATCTTCTCTTACACTGTTTAGGACTATTAATGGATGATTATTTTATATCCAGGGTCTGGCAGAAGTAAGGCCTGCTTGAGTGTGGTTGGTAGGGTAATAATGTGGGTGTAATAATTTATAGTTTTAATTCGAACATTTCACTTAAAATGTCATATGGTGTGCTTGAGTGTGATATTGTTGTGTTTCAGAATTATATGTGTATATTTTTGGAACAGAAGATTTTGTAGTAAAAAGGGGCTGTTATTTGTGCTGGACCCTGTATATGAACCCCTACTGTTCCTGCTGTTTGGAGTTACACAGAGTCCTCCTGGGAGATGCAACAGGCAGGTCTGGTTTGTTATACTAGTAACCCTTAAGTGTCCTTTTTATTCACACCAAGTCCAAAAGAGTGATCTCAAAACATAAGCTGTGCTTTTCCCCTAATCTTTCAAACTGTATCAACAAGCAGAAGAAGCAATACAAGGACCACAGGTTTGAAAGTGACACATTTGCTTTCAAATTCCAGGCCAACCACTGAGTAGCTGCTGATTTCAATGTGTTTTTGTTTTTGATCTTTGGGTTTCCGTCTAGAAAACAGGGATAATAAAACCTAGCTCCCGTGGTGGTTGTAAGATAACACAGGGACATGTTGAATAAATGTCGTTCTCTTTTTCTGCAGTATTTCATTACATAGTGCCGAGAAGTAACTTAATCGTAGGGACCACTAGCAGGTGCTCAGTAGACAGCTTTCATCAATTGCATTGGGAGATACCAGTGTTCCTAAACTTAAGTAACGCTGTACATGGAGGTCATTCTCAGGAGTGTGACATTCTCAATGTCACCCAAATCCTCCATCCAGCCTCCTGCAATTGTGCCATTCTTCTTTACTCCTGCTGAGCTGCTGCTTTCTCTGTATGGAGCCGATGTTCTGACCCCCCTTGTGAGGGTCTGGTCAGAATCCCCCTTACTGGGATCCACATAGCGTTGCATAATCTGGCCCCTGCCTACTTCTTCAACTTCAACTCTTAACACTTTACCCTTACTGGCTCTGCTCAATTGGCTCCTTCTTTTTTTCTTTTCAAATATAGTCCAGTTCTTTCCCACCTCAAAACCTTTGTATTCCCCGCTCATGTTTCAGCACAAAGATCATTTCTTTCCATACCATCTCATTAAAAGTAATCTCCTATGCCTTCAATCCAGAACACAGTCTGTGATTTTATTATTTCATTCTTTGAAGATCGTCTGCCTCCCCGAGGTTTTGGCTGGCACAAACCAGAAACATATAATAAATGTTTGCTGTGTGGTGAGTGCGAGGGTCTGTTTTGCCACAAGCTTCTGCTTCCCTAAAGATCCATGTCCTATGCTCTGTGACTCTATTCACCTAGCCATTGCTAATTGGATTGGCCACTGACCTTGGGTTTAATGGGTCTGGCTTGGGAAGATTACCTGGACCAGTTCAATTCTTCCCTCAAAAATTGGGGAATTAAGACACTAAGCCAGTTAGCCAAAGGAAATGAACTAAAAATCTGCCACTTGAAATGATGTAGCGCTAAGTTGACAGAGAGAAGACCCTGCTGCTGAGTGGGGAGGAGCAGAAATACCGTGGGAGGGAATCCAAACCCCTCCAGAGCAGGGCACTTCATTCCCAAGAACTTTCTACTCTCCAATCTTGCTCCCATGAGGCCCGCCCATTCCATAGTTCCCTTTCCAACTATTTTCCAGTCTTTCGTATTGTGTTTAGAAGACAATTTCTATGTGTTGTCATCATGTTTTTAATAGCTCCATAATGTCCTCTCTCTCTCTCTAATAAAGTGAGAGAAGGCAACACTATCTAGATTAAGTTTAGGTATCTTTGTCTTTACTTTTATGGATACATTCTAGTGATAGCTGATAATACTACTAGTTTTCCAATGAAGTCAGAGATATATTATTTTTAAACTGTCTTTGACTGAAAATGTCTTTATTTTGCTCTCATTCTTAATTGATAGTTCAAGCGGG